TCTAAACCAGCTGGAAAATATCACCCTGCAGACATGAAAAAGCTAACTATGTCTTATATTTCCCAAAATGCCCTGTTGACTCTGTTAGCACTGGATCAAAGCGTGTGTGTGGGAAAGGTTTCCTCATAAATTAAAATCTTTTTGTCCTGTCCTCCCCCACCCCAGCAGAAGGTTCCTGGTTTGTTTTATAAGCTGAAACAAATGGGAAGTTCAGCAGAATCTTATTTTTTGTAGCATGTATAACGACAAGAAGCAAATTGTGCAGACATAGACATCTTCCCCTTCTTTGTGATGTTTATGTTAAAGCAGACAGAGCGTAGGACATTCCTGTCCTCTGCCTCCTCCCAAGCAATTGAATGATGAGTCTGGTCCAGACTTCAGTTCTGCTTTTTTTGCAGCATAAGGTGGTGTGGGGTCCTCGCTGGGTTCTTCCCTCCTAGCACCCACCTTACAAACTCATACTTGATGTTTCCTGTTAGAGCTGCCTTGCAGGCAAATCACGTCTGAATTGAATTAGGTGGGAAACCTTTTAAAGGTGAATTAACTGAATAATTGCTCTTTTGGAAGTCTCTAACACCAGTTATTTTAATTTAAGTTTTTTAAAGCATGACTGATAGGGATCTTCAGCAGACATAAAACTGTGGTTTATGGGGAAAAACCCCTAGTGCATGGGGACAGGATTGATGCACAGGGGAGAGGCATTTCCAGTGCAGAACAGCAAGGGTCGCATACCTGCTGTGTTGGCATGGGGCAAGGAAGTCTTTCGAGAAGCAGTTGCTTCTGTGTCGCACATTTGTGTGACGGCAGCGATAAACGCTCCTCTTGTGCAAAGGGATCATGAGAAGTTATGGCACAGCAGCCATGGTTTTGGTGCATTACAGCCTCAGCCGAGTTTTTCAGCTAGGGTGTTGGATTGTCCAGGAACAAGTACGGAATGTGACTCTGTGGCAGCTGTTGAGAAAAAAGGTTTCAACTGTAAGACTTTTTCTGTATCATCAGACAACTAAGCTTGGAAGCTTGGGAAAAGGTTGCATGGATTGCATTTTGAAAACCTAGTTGCAGATTTTCAATGGGAAATTTCTATTTCCTTAAATACATTTGTATGGATTTATTCCGCTGTATCCTGGTTATCTTGTAGGCATTGTCCTTGCCCTGGGGGGCTTTCAGCCTAAGGTAAGCTGTGGATTGGCAGCATAAATGAGGAGAGCATGCAAGTGACAAGGCAGTAACAGGCCACGTGTAATTACTACATGGTCATTCCGTAGTGGTTCCCAACAGGTCACATCATGGATGGCTTTGTCAGTACAGGAAGATACTCTCATTACAAGTGCAGACCAGTCTCCTTATTGGACCCCCTGAAATGCCTTCACACAGGCCTTTTCTTTTTGTGCTAGGCACCCTTGTGTCTATGCCGGGATCACATTCCAGTGAATCAATTCAGGTTCTTTAGTTACTCAATTTAAATTCCCATATGCCCTAATAAAGCCCCCAAATGAAGAATTAAAGTAATAATACATCAATTCTGCCGCGCTACCAATAACCTTAACTATCAAAGTGACAACGCATCAATCAAGTTGACATACAGCTAGTATCAACCGTTAAAGTAACTCTTAAATTAATGTCTACTAAAAAGTGCTGCTTCCATTAGTGAAGGTTTTATCCGTCTCTCCTTTCCCCACCCTGCCTGTCTCACTTTTCTAATCCTGTCTTTTTCACCTTTCACCGTTTGCTTGTTGAGGTTTTTTACTTTCTCTTCCCTCTCCTTTCTATTTTTCTTTTTCCTTTCCCTTTCTTTTCCTTTCTGATTTTCTTTTTCCCTTTTTTCATCTCCCTTCCCTGTTCTTCTGTTTCGTCACTCTTGGTCCATAGATGTTGATTGCTGCAGTTCTCTCTTACCTGTTGTTATCCTGGATGAATCCTTCTGGCTGCTCTAGCCTGAGACAGGATAATGGCATTTAGTGAAGTGCAGTCTTGCACCTGTCATAGCTGCTAAATGTAATGTTGATGCGGGAAGGGAAGAGTTTAACCTTTCCTCCCGTCTCCTGTTTCTAAATGGGGAAATAATACCTGTTTGTGTCTCAGGCTGGCAAGGTTAGATTTGCTAATTTTAAGTTGAGCTGTATGTCACCTGATAGGAATCTGTATCGAATCTGGACATTTGCATATTCGGGTGTTTTCGATATTGGATGTACGTTGCGCTACCCCAAATCCCACAGTCTTTCCATTAAAGTGCCATAGAATATAAATGCGAAGGTGCCATCTGGTAAGTTAAAAAGAAGAGGCAGAGTTTTCTATTTAGTTGAATTGTGTAAGAAAATGAATAATGTAACCTGAACAATATCCACTCGATTTTCTTTTTTAAATGTTCAATTCAATTTACTTCAGGCTGTGCCAATATTTTTATTTCCCAGTTGCTACAGGCTGTATTATTGACAGCACATAACAATATAATTTAAGTGGTTAGCGGCAAAGCTTGAAGAGTTTGCAGCTGGATAAGGGCACATATGGGAAGAAGCAGAGTACGATCTGAGACGGTGAGAGACATATGCTGGCTGTATATTTTTGTTGTTGTTGAAGTAGATATTTCCAATAATCATGAAAAGAATAATCAGACTGCCTGGCACTGACACCTTGCCAGCCCTGGAGCCAAGTGTTATTAAAATTCTGGTTCTTGAAAGAGACTGCTTAGAAGTCGGTAGATGGGGATGTCACCAGGGAGAAGTGTTTTAGAGAAGGTAAATGGTGTTTACTCAACAAGATTCCTTGGCAGTATTGCTAGCAGGAAGGCTGCCTGAAAAACCTGTCAAGATGGCTCTCATCAAAGCTTTTTACAATTTTTAAAATCAGGTTTTAGGGGAGAGAAAATATGGGGAAAACTAAGAAAGTGTTTGGTTACAGTAATTTTCCTCAGGAAAGGTATGGCACTGATCATCCCTACCAAGCACAGCAGGAGCACAAAGAACCCTGTTCACACAGCCATTGTCATCTCTCTCCATCCTTCCTCGTGTAACAAAGTGCCAGCCTTAGTTACTGTCCTGGGCTTTGGCCCCAAAGCACCCTCTTCCCTCTTATTGATGCTGTGGCTTCTGGACTCTCTGTCCTTATGGTATGGACAAAAGAAGGATTTCCATCAGTGAGAAGCAGAACTCCCAAAGTACCATACTGCACTGCATGTGCACATCTTCTGTTGAGGTAAAAGTGAAGGTAAAGCTGCTACTTTGTGCACCTTTCGTCTGTGGATTTCAGAGCACTTGGAAACATTCATGTGCATTAATTACACCCAGAGAAACTGAGTGTACAGGCTGGGGACAGATGCTCTCCCTTCCGGAACCTCCCTGTTGTTTGGAGGTAGTTACCTCAAATGGCTGCTGAAAGTTACAATCACTTCACCAATAAGACGTACCAGAAGATCACTACCAAACTCCTACTGGCTTTGCTAGAAGGTTTAGAGAGTCATCAAAGGTGGTTTGGCCTCAACAAGTCTGACTTTGCTCCTGCCCACAGTGTTGTGGAAGCAGTGGTCTCAGGCAGAGAAACGTTAAACCAGAAGATGTTTCAACTGATGTAGCTGTTTCCCTTGTAGCTGGTGTGTGCGTGGGACTGCCAGAGAAGCTCAGCTGTCGGGAGTGATGGGAATCAACTCGGGAGCAAGGCCCTAAGTCTTCGTGTCTGCGCACACATCACCAGGTTACAGTGCAGGGAACTCACTCAGCTGACCAACCACTTGCCTCTGTTTTAGAGTGCGCCAGGTAACTCTCTGGGCACGCTCTCTATTCATTGTATGGATCAGAGCTCCAGCAGCTGTAACAGGAGCTTAGGCACTTCTCATGGGGAAGTCTCAGCCTGCAAGCTGAATTCCACCTTCACTGATTTGTCATGGTGTATCCCTGTTTGCTTTCCTTCACCAGCCTGAGCCCTTATGGGCAGACTGTTTGATTTGTGGTCACCCAGAGCATTTTTGGCCAGTCAGGAAGAAAAGCCCTTGACCCCTAACCCTGTGTCCTGTCCACAAGGTAATTCTGCTTCCTACAACATACTTGGGGGAAACAGCAAGTTTTAAATTTTAAATTCCACACAGACTGTAAGCGTGCTAAATATCTGTGTATTTCTGTGCTCAGCTTTGCCCATAGAGATTGTTTCAAAAACCCATCGGGATTTCTAAACACAGAGGACTTGCAAGCACATTTTGTTGCTTTAATTTCTTGGTGAAAAGCTGGCCTGTGTGATTGAGGTCTATGGAAGCATATTCTGGGGTTGAAGCGGCTTTAGCTGTGAGGTTTCTGTGCCCACGAAATGCAGTCCCCATTTATGTAGTTCATTGGGGTCTTTACTTTGTTGGGTGAAGTAGTCCACCAGAAAGGGAGGGCCTCTTGTCCCAGGCACCATAGGTGTCAGATTGCCTCCCCTGATTCCGTTTCCGCCTGACATAGCTGGTTTCCACAAAGGTATGGAAATTGGTCTGGTTCAGTCCTGCTAATGTTGGTGGCACGTAGGCAATGCCACTCTGCAAAGGGGTCTTGGTCTCGTTTGTAGTTGAGACCCTTGAAACTTTGGAGCTGCCAAAGCAGAACGAGGTCTGTGTATAGCATTGGGTCTCTGGGAGGAGCTGCGTGCAAATTCCATGTAGTTGCAGTTAGGTAATCATACCATGGGCAATAATGAAGCCATTGCCTGCGGACAATACAGAAAAGTTAGATGCAAATGCGAAGCTGACCTCACTGTGTTCCTTGACTAGATGAAATCAGAAAAGCTTTTACTTAGAGGTGTCAATGCCAGTTGAAAGTCTGTTGATTCTGTTTGTCCCTTTGAGCTGGCGTGCCCATTCCGTAGCGCTTGCCGTCGCTGCTGATGGTCAGACGTTCCCCTTCATTCTCTGTGCTCTGCCTCTGCTGGAATGAGGCTGCCGAAAGAGCTTTGTGGCACGTGCTGAGGAAGCTGCCGTTGCACTTGGCTCTCAGCTCTGCTGCTGCTTCCGCTGCTGGGAGAGGTGATGGATTTGGTGCTGGTTCTTTGGTCTTGCTATATACGCCTGTTAAACCTCTCTGAGAATCGTTAAGTTGTAGTTCGCTGTGCCGTATCTTTTCCACCAAAAGTATTTTCCCCTCCTGTCCCCAGCCAGCGTAAGACTTACGGGATGCTTGGTCTGGTAATGAGTTGTAGTTTGAAGGCCAAATGTGTGGTTTCTGCAGCAAGGTATTTTTAAGTGAGGCAGGCCTGGGAAAGTGCTAAGAGCTGTAATCGTTGATGGAGAAGAAATGACAGAAAGGGGCCACTACAGAACATCTCCTGAGCAGGGTATTTTTTTGGAAATAGCTTGTGTCCTGCGTTTAAGAAGAGCTGTGCATGACAGCAAACTGTCTTTTGCTTGGTAAAGTGTTTTGTAGTTTAAATGAATGCTGTTGTACCCCAAACTTTGGAAATGGATTAGCAAAGAAAATGGGATCGTTAAGCTGCTTTAAGCTCCTACATTGGGACAGCTTCCCCATCAACATCGTTTTCCTGCAGAAGTCAGTGACGTACATGGGTATCTTCACCCTCCTTGCGTGAGGCGATGTGAATGGGGGCAGAACTCGTGCCCGACGTGACAGCTGCCACTGGTGCTAAATATTAAAAATGACTTCTTTTTTCAAAAAAGACTCTTCTCTAGGAATGGTGAGCTTGCATGTCATCGCAGTGCTAAGCCTTTCCTCAGCCTTCACAGTCTACAAGGAACTTCTAAGGCATAACGAAGCCCTGTGCTCTGTAACGGCATGTGCAGTATTTAACTTTCCAGGCATTGAGCATGGTTTGAGCAATTCCTCCCCTGGGTAAATTTCAGGTACATCTAAATTCCAGTGTGATCCCCTCAGGTGAGGGCGACCCTCATTTTGAACAGGCCTTTGATTCATAGACACTCGCATGCCTGTAATACCTGTCCTCTCTCTAATGTAAACTGAGGGTGAGCTACAGAGGACAAGTCAAAATTTCCCACTTCCAGGTTTTCTAGTGTGGGTTTTTTTTTTCCCCTAATCTTTTTTTTTTTTTTTGAATTTGTTTCCTGTAATACAGGGAATGTGCTCTGTGGGTATGAGAGACTACAAGGAGGGGCTTGGCTGCCTGCTAGAGCTGGAAAGGTTGGAATTACAGCCGCTGTGGTGGAGGGAGGGAGGTTTGCGGTGGTGTCAGTGGTGCAGCTTCAAACGCACGTGTACTCTGTAATTGTGGAATAAAAATGACAAAGGGGGAGGAGAGCCTGCTAATTACTACTAGTAATGTACCTTACTGCGTGCACAGAGATCCGCAGAGGTAATTTTCTATGGGTTTTTTTTTTCCTTTGGAATCTTTTGTCAAACACGTTCGTCGTAAGCCCAGACTTTTGATGTGAATCTAAACTATCAGTATCAGTTGAAAGCGGTTTCGTTTTCTGGATTCCCTGGAGGTATGGCTGCTGTTTAAACGGCTGCTGGCTTCACTGTCTGACAATAACAAGACACAAGGAAAAGAACTAGGGGAAAGTATGTTTCAAGTGCTTCAATGTAGAGCCTTACAATGCTTTTGAAAGTGAGAATGCATGTGTTGCGCTCTCTTAACTCTTATTTCCCTGATTTGTAGAAGGCTACGGATACCACATTCCCTGATGTGTTAATGTGTGTTAAATAAGGCTCTGACATGGCTGGCAGCGTGTTTCAGCGTTTGTCTGATCTCTTCCCTAAATCGTGTCTGTCTCGGAAGCACTGTGAGGATAAATTGATATGGTAGAGACTGTCGTAGGTCGCTAGAAGTGTGGGATGTGACAGTTATGTAGGTAAGAAGGTACCTGTATCATGTTCTCATAAGAAATTTGATTGGAGAATTTGAGGATTTTTTAGTCTGTTTTCCAAGGAAGAAAGGCTTATGCTTCTCAACTTCCTGTCAAATGTGGTCAGAATAGATATAGGAACCCAGATTTCATTAGTTCACATTTTTGGTCTGGCTTTGCCCTCAGCTGCTAAAATTGTTTCCCACTGTTTGACAAGAATTCTCACTTCTCCCCAAAGGCATCTGGATTTTCTGTTTTATAAACCCCTCCTAAGTTCCTTAACTGTTTCCTTAATGAAGTCTCCTGCACCTCAAGACTCTTCCACTGCGTGTACTTTGCAGAAGACAGTGCAAGCACCTGTATTATGCAAGTATTTAAGTTAATCACCCTCTTCATCCTGCCTAGCCAGGTTCTCAAACTGGTCACTGCGGAAGGCTGGGTGCTTTGCCTGGTGTCATGGAGCTAAAGCTGAAAGTACTAATTCAGGCATAAAAAAAAAATGCAGTTATTTTTTTTCCTTTTCTTTTGCAGTGCAATTTTCCCGAGAGCCAGGATGGCTAGAAGGCACGCTAAACGGCAAGAGAGGACTCATTCCACAAAATTACGTTCAGTTTCTATAGCCTTGTGCATTGGACGCCAAGAAGGTGTACATGGTATCCATGGATTTCTGTTTTAGTCACTTCCCTCTACTTTGGTGACTGCTTTTAATCAGCGAAGAGCCTGACTCTGGGTTGGCGATACTAATCTGTGTAAAGACATGAAGTGTTGCCAAATACGAATTACAAAACAAGATTCTTTAAGGGTTGGAATAGGGGTGGGGGGTAGGTTAACAAAGAGAGGATCGTTTTTTAATAAGGTGCTTTTTTCAGTTGTGGAGAGCAGTAGTGGTAGGTTTGTTTGCAAGATAACTACCGTTTTAAGTCAAATATGGGGTTGATCTGTGACTCCACTATCCATTGAGATTTTTATCAGCTTAGTCTCCTGGAGATTATTCATTGATAACCAGCATTTTTAGCAGAATATTATTTGGGTTTGGAAAAGAGTGTTGGATAAAAAACAGCTATTGGGCTGACAATTAAATTGTATTTCGAAGTGGAATAGACAGTACGGAACAGACACCAGGAAGTAAAATAATAGGTAGCAAGACATGACATTTTTCAAATGTCTTCAAGGAACACATTCGTTTATGGTGTGTGTATGACTTCACTTAGTTTATAAAGGTAAGACACAAGAACTTGTATCACAGGCTCCTGTATGTCGTGGTTCCTTGGCTACTCAGAATTATCACTGCAAATGCAATAAAACTTTATTTGCTATTTGACACAAGTCATTCCTATCTTGGAGAGTATTTTGCTCTGGTTCTGTAAGTTATGATGTGAGCTAATCACTGGGAGCTGTAAGCAGCTGGGCTCTAAAACGGACGGGGAACTTTCCTCCCTTGAAATAGGCAACTCTGCACGCCCAAGCCAGAAGGAAGAGTGAGTCTCTGGCGAAGATCCTTGTGCATCCTGGAGGCATCTAGTGGTTTATCTGTTGTCTGTCTGTCTAGCTCCTACGTGAGATTCCCTTTCTTCCTTCCAGGCAACTGCCAGTTGTGAGGTCTTAATGATGCTTCAGAGTACCAGAATCCTCAAGTAGCTGCCTTGTAATTTGTAGAACTATTTGAATAGTAAGAGAATCTACCTGTGGTCGTAGAAAAAGCTTCCAGAAATCTTGGGGTGTACAAATCTGTGCCTTGTGACTGAGAAAACAAAAGTTACGTGCAGTTCATCATTAATCTTTGTATTTTTTTCTATCCTTCAAGTTAGACCCTCTGGGAAGCAGTGGGGAGGATGCAGGAAAATGTGATGGGATGACGTGTTAATACAGGCTCACTTCCTTGTTGAGCTGGGCTCTGTGGCTTTGGAGTCATTTACTGCAGACATACTTAGCTTGTGAATTTTCCTAACTAATGTGATTAGCAAACCAGTTAAGGGTTAATGCTGCTATAAGGTTTGGATGTCTTCCCCACCCCACCCCCCCTCCCTGCAAGATTTAACTCCCTACCATTATTTTGCTGCTTTTCCCAGACTGCACAGGCCATTGGAGTATTCACAAATCATTCCCAGATGGAGCAGTGGTGGACCAAGTCTTTCCAGCCCTCCAGCGCTGAACCTCATCACTTGGCGGCGTTTCGCTCGGTGTATTTGCGTGGTGTTGGAGTAGCGACTCTGTCACATGGCTTTGGGGCAGCTCTCGGCACGGTGGCCGAGTGACCCAAGCACTGAAGACAACATTTGGTCGTCTGTGAAGGAGATTGGGTTCTTTCATTTGCTCCTTGACTCCGTTGGTGGAAGGTGTTGCTGGGAGAGGGAGGACGTAAACCTGTGGTATTCACCTAGCAGGTGTGGCAGCGAGGTGCGCTGGCTCAGCAGGGAGTGATGCTCTGGTAACTTGGGGCTGACAAGCTGCCTAAGTCCCTTCCGTTTGTTCCGTTGTTGGTTTAAACGTGCAGCGCATGTCTGATCTTGTTCTGGCTGCTGCCTTCCAAAATTCTCAGTGTATTTCTCAGCTCCAGCTCTGTGGTTTGGTTGGTTTTGTTCCCCCCTCCCACCCCTTATGACTTAAAAAATTTAAAAAGGCAGATACGTAGAGAAGGAATTAAAGACTTTCAGTGTCTCTTCCATCCAGCCCTGTGACCCTATTTGCCCTTAGGTGAGATGGTTTGAGACTCCCGTCACCTCTGGAGCCACACAGAACCCCAGCAAGCAGAAAACCTGCCCACTAAGAAACGCTACACGTAGCAGAGGTGACGCTAACCCACGCTTTCTCACGGCCCAGACGCCGTCTGACGGCAGTGGCGTGAGCTGGGCCAGATCGGATCTGGCTTTCGGGCTAACCACAGCGTCTCGCAGGAACGTAGCTGTGGTTCCTGCTACCCACCGTGCGCGTTTCCACATCGCTCGGCCACGCTGAGGCTGAGCGCAGCCTCGTACAGCTGAGTAGCCACAGCACGTCTCGCGCCATCCTCGCTGCTGAGCAGTGCTGCAAGCGACGGCTCGCACTGTTGGGAAGTAGGGATTGAGGGAGGCTAAAAATTAAAACTTGTGTAAAGGAAGTCTGGCCCCTTTCCCATCCTTCGGAATGGCTTTCTTTCCAGAAGCCGGGCATCAGGCTGTGCCTCTTGTCTGCTCCATGGCTTGGTACAGTTGGGAAGAGCAGAGTAATGCACTGTTGCCTTGAGGCGGGAAGGAGGACTGGGAATCAGTTGTGGAAAGAGCTGGTGGCAGGGCCCTTCTCTTTTGGCCTGGCAGCAGCTGAGATCACAGAATCACAGAACGGTTCAGGCTGAAGGGACCCCAAAGACCACCTAGTTCCAAGCCCCCTGCATGGGCAGGGACACCCTCCACATGGTTCTTTGCGGGGGGCGAGCCTGGCTCTGTCCCCTCACAGGGAACTGCTCTCCTGTCTCAGCCCTGGCTCCACATTCCCCCTCCCCTGCTGCGTGCTGGTTACGGTGCGCAGGGGCACGTCCTCGGCAGCGTTTGGAGCCGAGACTCCTGGCAGGGACAGCGGGACACAAGCTGAAAATCAGAGTGGGTGAATTAGGGGAAGAAACGGAGTTTTTTGCTTTTCATGCAAAATGCTGTTTGCTCTGCCACTGCTCTGGGGCTGGAACTTGAACCCCTCAGCCAGGGAATTAAGACCGAATGTGTGTTTGCTGAATAATGAATGGAAAAGCTGAGGCTCCTGCCTGGCTGGGATAAGCAGGAATTTACAGCTTGTGCTAGTCGCTGGACAGTGCGCAGCTCTGCCTTGGCTGGGCAGCATTTTTGCTCTGCTGGGCAAAGAACCCCAGCGTTTGCAGGCTGTTGACGGTGTTGCTCATTGTCCCAGCTGATGGTTTCCCTCCCATGCCCAGTCTTTCATCAGGAGTGAAAGGAAAACCTCAGTGGCTGGTTTTGTCTGCCCTGCAATGAGAGTAAGTGTTCCTGCTCATTGCTCACAGCTCTTGCTGGCTCAGCCTCCCCAACTGTATCGTGGAAGAGACTCGGGGAGAAACTTGCCTTTCTCCATTCCTCATTCTCGTAACCCACTTCCCAGCTCCTACCTGGTTTGCCAGGTAAAGAGCAGAGTTGCTGACAGAGGGCCTCCATAGGCCACAAATGCCCCGGTGCCAAACGCTGTTCGACTGAGTCTCCGCGGGCATTTCACCTTGGGAGCCGACTGTGCCTTGGACGTTGTTCTCCGTGTCAGCGTTCAGCAGTGTGCCCTCACCTGCGCTCACAACTGGAACCACAGGTCAGCACCGTGTGAACCCGTGTCCTACCCCCGTCTGCAACTGGCGCGGTCTTTTAAACACCGTGTGGCCTGGCACGCTGTACCTAGCGCGGTCTCTGCCGCGGAAGGGCGCTTTTGGCTACGTTCTCGTTTAGTAGCGCTCTCCCCAGTGTGAGCTCCCCGTCCTGCAGGTGTCCCAGCCTGAGGTCAGACTGCGAGTTTCCCTGTGGTTTTGAGTAGCAAGAGCGTTTTCTTACTTCTCAAACAGCGTGTGACCGATACAGCTGCTATTAAACACATGGGAAACTTTTTGGAAGGCTGCTGATCCTCTCCTATTCCTGACGCTTCCGCAACTGGAAGGCAGGTGCGAGGACTTTTGGCAACAGAAAGGGCGTGTGTCTTGTTACGATACCCCCCCAGCAGTGGGGTCTTACACCGAGCTCAGGGCAGGACTTAGCAGTGGATTTTTGAGTTAGCAAAGAGCAGTTTTATTTCCCTCTCTAACTCTCCCACTGTAAGCAGAACTGGGGAAGGCCTGACCCCAGTTCAGTGATGGGGGGAACCTTGTGCACGTAACACAGGGAGCCCATTTCCCTGAGAGGAATTCCGGTGCTGCTCATGG